GCATTCACTCCATAAGACGCACACACATTTCCCCTTACTTTTTAGGAGGGAAAAGGTGAGTCTTATAGAGCAAAAAATACGGTAATTGGTTTGGTGAATTGTGCCCCTGCCATAGGTGTAGCCAAGATTTATGTTAGGTGGGGCTGGCTTTATGTTGTGGGGGGCAGAACCTCAGTTAGTAAAATGTTTTTATTGATTTACTTGATGGTGGGGCAGCTGCCCCACCTTGACTATGCCCATGGCCCCTGCTACACTTCCAGAGAAGTCACCAGGATCTTGAAGCACCCTGGAACACTTACCCTCCATTCAAACCCTTCTTGTTGCTGCCTCTCTCAAGGAAACTGGTGTGCTGTAGTGGGGCTTACACATTGCCATGAGCATCCAATTATTTCCCTATTGTTGGTTTTCTCTTTTGCATCCATGGATGCTGCTGAAACATGTGCAGAAGTGTCTATGCATAGCAGGAGTCATGGGAACTTACATTCCCCAAACCTCCATGCCTAAATGCTGCTGTGTGCATGCTTACGGGGGGGGGGGGAGCGTTGTCCAGGCAAACAGTTTCAGTGAGCCATCCCCACCAGTCACCTCACAGCAGTAAGTATTGTGGAAAGAAAACAGTGGGGAGGATTTGTGGTACAGAATGGGAAGCAGCAGGACGTTTTAAGTAGGAGGCCAACATGTAAAAATTGGGCGTATGACTTCTGCCTGGCTCCCTGCTATTCTCCCAAAATATACAGTAATTGAAGATATTAGAGAGAGTAGATTACAAATAATTCTATTATTTTGTCATGGGCTGCCTGAGCTTGAAGCTATGAATACTGGAATATAAGGAACCTCCATTTCATGTTTCAAATAAGTCTGTTTCTGTCTCTTTTGGGTGAGGCTGCCATTTGTATTCTTAAAGGTGGAGAAACTTGAAGTGTTCTTAAAAACAGTATTATTTTTTTAAAAACACACACACACATGCAGATACTATTTGTGGAGGGTCTATTTATTATATGGAACATTGTGGCAGTACATAAAATGTGGTTATCTGAACTATGTCAGCATATATCCTAAAATACTTAAAAGTCAGATAAACCTAGTCCAATATTCATCCAGCATTTACTGCTTCACATTTCTAGGCAGCTGTATTATATTTAAGTATTATTTATACCAGGTATTAGTATTTTCTATATATGATAAAGATTATATGGCACACAGAACACAACTTAGCATAAATTTGTGTTAACTACCTTTCTCAATTTTAAAAACATCTTTCTGGATTTTTAACCTGTTCCTGGTTAGTAAAATGGAGCCCCTTCCAATTACTGGTATCACTAGCTTTTCTGGGGAGGGTGTTTAAGTATAATAAAGTTGTCTTGATGTTGTTTCCTAGATTTACTACAGCCCATTGTGATCCTCTTCTTTATGCAGAAAATCTGTTGTGGTATTTTCAGGAACACTGGATTTTCTGGGTCTCTGTCATTTTGGCTTTTGAGCTGGGTATGACACAGATTACACTTGTGTCCTTGGTTAGTGATCTTTATGTAAAGTATCATAATGAAAATTAGAGCTGGAAGCTTTGACCGGTTTGACAGTTAGATTAATCAGTCAAAGCCTGACTTGATTCATCAGGAGATGACCATTTTAATCAGTAACAGCAAATTCTAAGTGGTGGAGCTGTAAGTTAAGGTCACACTTGTTTGCTTATTTGTTTAGCTAATAGGAGTCTTGTATGTTACTGTAATGGAGAATGAAGGAGAAAATGGTAACATTTATTCAGTTGTAAGTCATCTCACACTGCATATTCCCATATATTCTCAAACACTGAGGTTTTTGGTAATATGCAATTTTATTTACATTTATTTTAAAAGGATTTAATTGGATGATTATGAAGAGGAAATTGTATTAGATCTCTTACATGCTGTTGCATGCAATGGTTTCAGGCATGCAGATTTTGGTCCCTCAGAGGTGGACCTCAGTGTCCGAGCTGAATGATGTGGCTGGAGATGCTCCTTCAGGTATACTGGTATGAACCTCTTGGGTACCCTTCCAGGGCAGTAGGTACATCTGGGGCTGGTTCAGAGGGCAATCCGTTTTCCCACTCCAAATATCTGAAAACGAGGAATCAGCCCCCAAGGTCATGCTAAAGAGATCATGAAGTGTTGGACTCACAACTAAGAAACACACGATCATTTGCAGGATAGAATGGGAGAATAGTTGTCACTTGTTTCCTGTGGGTGATGCAAACACTGTCACCCAAAATTGCGCTTCCACTGCTCAGGCATTTCCCCCAGCATTCCAGCCACAATACATTGTTGTTTGAAAACTATATAAATATCTTCTTTCTTGTAAACACGGTCAGGCAACAGCTCCTTTGTCATACAATGTATTTATCTCTATTGTATCATTAAGAAGACAGTTTTGAGGTATTCATTTCCTCTCCCTATGTAAAACCTATTGCCAATTTCCTTTACACGCTCCAACCCAGTTAGCACTATCAACTAGGCTCTGAGGACTACACTTGCAGTCTCCCCTCTGGCCCTCAACTATTTATCTCTGAAGTCTCTCAGGTTTCTGTTAGGACTTCTGATATAGTTTTCACCTTGGTCCAGCAATCTCTCCTGCCTCAGGAGCTTCACAACTCCACTGACTCATGAAGGCGGCCTCTCTGGACATTTTCACTCCCTCATATACCTCCTCAGATCCAACCAATGATTTCAGTTCTTGAGTTTTCTCAGTTTTTCCAAGCCATGATGTTCATTAGAATGTAAGAAATTCTGTCTTCTTCCCATGATGGCCTCGGTCTTCCTCTTATCAACAACCAACCGACAGTGACTCTCCTTGAAGATTGACCCCACTCTGGTTCAAGTTTGCCCTATAATTTCCAGCTAGGGTCTCTCTCCAGCCAATCGCTTCAGAGATGCGCTTTCATCAAGCCATCACTCTGGTCCAATGGAATGAGGCAGAATATCAACTGTCTTGACCAATCAAAATCTACCAGATTTCAATCCTTGATCTCTGTGTATAAACAGGACCTCACTCTCAAAACTATTTTGGTTTTCTTGGTGATGTGACAGTTAGCTGTCAGGCAGGCACCTACAGCTCTCAGTCTAATACAGTGTTATCTTGGGTTAAGAACTTAATTCATTTTGGAGGTCCATTCTTAACCTAAAACTGTTCTTAACCTGAGGTACCAGTTTAGCTAATGGGGCCTCCCACTGCCGCCACCACACAATTTCTGTTCTCATCCTGAAGCAAAGTTCTTAACCTGAGGTACTATTTCTGGGTTAGTGGAGTCTGTAACCTGAAGCATCTGTAACCCGAGGTGCCACTGTACCAGGCATCCACAGCTCATAATCGAAAGCCTGGAGCCCTAGACAGCTCATATACAATTCTTCAGAAGAAAACTTTACCTCAGAAGTAATCTTAAAGAATGATTTCTACATACGCACAAACATCAAATCTGCATAAATACTAAGGATAGCTTCTAGTTTTCACTCCAGATTTCTTTTTCTGATGAGTCACTCAGTATAATTGCACAGATTTGAGTTCTATCTGCAAAAACAAATATCATAATTCCCCCCAGTCAGATAAGTGCTTTATGAATATTAATTTGGGTTTTTAATCCCATCCTTTCTCATGTTACAACAATTAAAAAGCCAACTATATAAAAATAAGTTCTCAACACATAGCATATAAAACATCAAGATATCCTCTCTAATTCGAATAAGATCAAAATCCAAATTCCTCCTACTCTGTGGTACCCCAGTTTGAGCCTTTCAGTGTGGTACCAGTGTAGAAAGGTGAAGGACTTTAAAAGCAAACAAACTCTTAAACAAATGCAGCTGTGTTTTTGAGATAGTTTACAATGATATATAACCAATGAAGCTGGTGAGGTCTTCCACAAGTTTTCCCAGGTGTCAGGGCTGACTGGTGGTGTTCTTGCCTCCAACAGCATGTTTGAAGCTCTATGCATCAAAAGATATAGTAGCTTAGCATTCCATATTAATGCCCCTTGTTGGGAAGAATCACTACCAGTTGGGCAATCTCTCCTGCCACAGTATCAGCAATTAACCAACCATATTCCTAAGAACAGATTAACAACATGTTAGCAGTTAGGATGATCTTTGATTGTCATTTCTTTTAAGTTACTGTTCTCAGTCAGGTTAATAGAAACACATTCCTGTGCTGTTGCATCCTGGATTCATAGCCCCCTTGATAATATAACTCCTTTTACAAATGGCTGTAACCTGGTTCAGACTCCTGCAACCAGACTAATGATGATATCTACTAACTTTTCCAGTAGATATTCAGGCACTATCCACTATGGGGGATGGAATACCAACTAAGAAGCAGCCAATGAGAACACCACTCATCATATAATCTGATCATTTTCTGTGGAACTGTTTGTGCTTTATAGCGTTCATATTACTAACAAATTCATAACTAAATTAAAAAAAATTCCTTCCAGTAGCACCTTAGAGACCAACTAAGTTTGTTCTTGGTATGAGCTTTCGTGTGCATGCACACTTCTTCAGATACCATGCACATGAAAGCTCATACAAAGAACAAACTTAGTTGGTCTCTAAGGTGCTACTGGAAGGAATTTTGTTTGTTTGTTTGTTTTGACTACGGCAGACCTACCTGTAACTAAATTCATAACTGCGCAAGATTATTTGTGGCAGAATGTTCCATTTGGAAACACATCTCAACTTAAGCAAGATGTAAGTGTAGATCTTGCTAGGTCCCAAGTGATCGCATGTTATGGATTCTTCATCCATGTTCAATTCTGACTAAATAGTTTCCACTTGGCCTTTGTACCAATCTAGTTGTTAAGAATAACAACAACAACAACAACAACAACAACAACAATATGGACCTTAGTGTCCAGGTTGAACAATGGGGGTGGAGACGCTCCTTCAGTTAACTGGTGTTTCCAGACTTGGAAGAATTCCCAAGGCAACAGCAGACAAACAAAATAAAATTCTGAGAAGTATAGGTCTTAATCTGAAGGAAGGGCCGTAGCTCAGTGGAAGAGCGTTTGCTTTTTATGCTGAAGGTCCCTGAGATCTCCAGGCTGTGCTGGGAGAGGACTCTATCTGAAATCCTGGAGAGCCATGGCCAGTCATAGGCTGAGAGCCATAGACAATACTGAGCTAGATGGATTAATCGTCTGACTCAGTGTAAGGCAGCTCCCTATGAGTGTTTATTTCTTAATTAGTCATTCAGGAACGAGATCTACAGTCTCACAAAACTTATGACCTGCCAAGCTGAATGAAACCCACAGGCCGTGTTTGGGATGCTATAATTTTTTTTATGTGCTACTTGTCTAGCACCGCAAAAACAGAGACTGCAAATTAGTAGCAGTCAAGCACCAGACAGGCCAAAAATATATGAGCAGTAGACCAACTTCATCTTGGCGGGTCACAAGTCATGCAGGTCACTGAACACAACCTGCAGTATGACCGTAGAGAAGGCAAACAGAATGTTAAAATAACAAATTGTGAAAAGTTAAAAAATATACTGCCAAAATATCATGACCTGAATACAGCGTTACATTTTGGCTGCCCATATTGTCCCAAAGGCACTGGAAAATATACCACGAATTACAAATGACATTGGGAGTGGGATTACAGAATAACCTTTAAAAGGCCTTAAACCCTTAACTTGGGGCTTAAAAACCGGGCAAAGGAGTGGGGAGGAGGACAGGAAGGGAGAGAGATAATAAACATGCAGCATCATTCAAGGAATTGGGAAAGTGATCGTGCACAAACCAAGCCACTGTCAGGATGGTTAAATAGTGCATCTTCCCCCCTTTCCGCCCTATCAATGCATGCTAATGGGGAAAAATAACCACACTCTGATTGGTAGCAGCTCAAGATCTAGGTGTTTGCTTTTGTTAGTGCAACGGGAAACAGATGGGTGAACCAGCTCTTTATGGGAACTACTGAATTAATGCTGTGCGTATGGAACAGAAAGATGGGAATTCAGAGGATAAGTAGCCAAAAAATAAGAAGCAGAGGAATTGGAAGCAGGACCACAGGCTGCAGAGCTGAGTGGATGCCAAAGTAAGACACAGCCTGCATGATCTTTTTGATGATCTCTTGAAAACTACAACTGGTCCAAAACACAGATGCTACAGTTACAACTGGAGGTGATGTAGGGAACACACCTCACAGTTTGAAATTAGCTTCTTTGACTCCCAGTTGGTTTCTTGGCCCAGCTTAAAGTTTTGATGTTGACCTTTAAAATCCTAAGCCCGGTATGAAGAATCTGTAACCCTCCAAACAATGTTGGACTCAAATCCCCATTAGTCCCAGTCAGCCTAGCCAATGGACAGGGATGATGAGAAGTATAGGACAATAACACCTGGAGGACTACAGATTGTCTATTCCTGATCTAAAAGATCTGGGCCCAGGACATCTAAGGACTGCCTGCTCTCATATGAACCTACCCTTAGCAGGATATCTTCCTAACAGGTCCTGTTTCAGGTTTCCTTGCTGTTCACAGTTTGGCTACTTAAGTCAGCAGCTTTTTGACAAGGGCACCAAAATCATGGCATTCCCTCCCTGAGGAAGTTCACGCCAGTTTGAAGGAATGCTGTGTTCTATTTTTGTTCTAATTCTATTTCGCAATGGCATTCTGCTTTATAAATTTCAAAATTTGTGAGCAATAATGGGGAAAGCTTTTGCAGTTTTAAAAATAAGTTTCTAAATACTGCTAATATAATAACAATAAATGGTCCTCAGAGTGTAGATCTACTGAAAGAAAGGATATTAGGTTTAGGTTAGATATAAAACACAGATTCCTATTTACACAGCACAAAACTTACAAGGTTTTAGGGTTTGAAAAGTCCACATCAGAAAGGCATGTACAGTAAGTACTCCTCCTATGACACACACTTCATTGTGGTTGGGCTGTATAGAATCATCTTAAAATCTTGGCTATATGTAGAACTGCATCTCTATAATTTGTTTTTTATGTGTACTGAATATCTTCCATGTATGCTCCTGTTATTCTTTGTATGATTATGTGGTTAGTTTGTACATATGTTTATGATAAACCAAGAAAAATATATTTGTAAATGGAAGAAAGGCAACTTCTCCTCATTGCTGAATCCAGGGAATCAGAAGGCTTGAGCATCCCACAACATGAAATGGTTTTGAAAAGCCATAGGCTCACTTACATTTACTCCAAGACACAGCAGCCTCACTACTAAATCAGGCATGTGAAAATCACTACCAGAAAGGCTTTGATTAGCCTCACCCTTCTGAGTAATAAAGATGCTGCTTTCAAAATATCAAGGCGATAGACTTGCCAATGTGATGTCTGTAGGAAATGCAATGCACCTTTATGGATAAATGTGCAGTGGCCCCGGCTGTCTATGTATCCTAGAGCTAAAAAGAAAAAAGGAGACTGAAGCATCATAAATGAGTCAAGTCTTCATTTATTCAATGCACACTATTTGCATGTAGAAGCAATTATAGCCTAGGCAAACAAAGAACCAAATGTTATTAGAATGTTGTGCAAATAATATCACATTTCAAGGGGATGTGTAAAAAAAACACCCTTATTATCTTTGAACATCAATTTGCAAGCAAAAGTGGTCCCCTGCCATTGCACAGAGGAGGGGAGGAGGATGAATTGATAAGAGTTCAGTTTGTCAGACAGAAGCTTTGTGGCGATGGCATTAATAAAATGTCCACATCTGCTTAGGAATTCCTGGTTCCACCAAACAGGAAAGCATCCCAGCAATCCCAGCAAAGCCTTACCAGTTGCCCATAAAGAAGAAAAAAGAGTGGGCAACAATGATTTTTTAGATCAAAGACAGAAGGACAAAAACCTTCAAAAGGTGCTAATGAACATTATTTTATTTGTGCAATGGGGTGGACATTTGTGAAACAGACTAGACAGAGCCTGCGGAGGTCTCAGAAGACCAATGGTCAGGGGATGAGATTTTAATATGGATGGACAAAACTGCCTATTTTTTATCTCTGTCATTTCTGCATTATTTTTACCCATAATCCCATTCCATTTCTGCATTAATCTGTGGATTTTGTTCTTTCTAAAGTCCTCTAAAAATAAATATTTAAATGTTGTTGTTGTTATTTATTGATCACCTTTGACATATACTGGTATATATCTCAAGGTGATGTACAGAATACAATAAAAACTACTTTAAAAAAAGAAAACCAGTTAAAAGTAACACACATGAAAAGCCAGATGATTATAAACAATACAAAGTGGACACCCGTGGCAGAGATCTAATCATCTGGCAAGAAAAGCTGCAATTTAACATGTGCCAATATATTTTTAATGTGCTTTTTCTTTTAAATGCATTTAAACTTCTGAGAACTGTATCATAACATTTAAAGAACTGTGAGGTCTGGTGGATATAGCTAAGGGCTCTGGATCTGACCATTTCGTGGAGGAAATTTCAAAGTTCAAATTACTCAAAGATCCCTAGGTTTCATTGCTCTGGATATCTTCCTGTTCCTCTCTTCCAGCAGAATTCATTGAAACAACAACAGCAACAACACCTGCCCTCCATTTATTCCCTGGGAACAAAATGCCGGGGAATGGGCTTTCTTAAACTGAGGAATCTGGCACTTGATCCATAAGGTAAATTCCTGTGTAACTCCACAGTTGAGTGAGTAAAACCCAGGGAATACAGTGAGATGCAAGTAAGTTTTAAAAACAACAAGCTATAACTTCCTGTTGCTAGGTTAATCGTGGGGGTACTTGGGGCCAGCACTCACTGATCATTCAGGAGGATGGAGAGCGTGGCAAAGATATGCTGCAGGTCTCCTTGACTCCCACACAAATATTCCTTTAATTCTCCTTTTAGATCTAATAAAACAGAAGCTTGCTGTCCCTTTCAGTCTCCTAAGGAGAAATGTTCAAAGTGGTGCGTGGGGATTTAGCTGTTTTACTAATACATAAGTCAATGGGAGTTGCATGGCTGAATCTCGGTGCAATGCTTTGAAAATTTTTCCTGTGAGTTTATGACAGCGTGGAACCACAGTTCTGAGCCCCTGGCTTCCTCTGCTTACATGTCAATGATGCTAATACTGCCTCTGCCTACCAATGTGACAAGGCAAGGATGTGCTTCTATTGGCATCTTTTCTTTGAAGTGAAGGGAAATCCTAAAGCTTTCATTCAGATAGTGAAAATCCTTGCTAACAGCTCTCCCCTCTCTGACCTCCACATAGGACTCTGTAATCCAGACTTGATGCTGGAGGCACCACAAGTTCTCTGCCTGTATAGACCTCCTCAGCAAAGGTAAGGCTCAATAGGAAGCAACTCCAGTCTTAAGGGGGGTGGGAATGAAGCTCCCTCCCAGTTCTAAATACACAGGAGCATTCTCAGGTATGGTGTCTGTTTCATTTTCACATGCATGGCAGCACCTCTCTAGGTAGCTTTTCCTTGGGACATCCCTATGTGGAAATCAAGAAATCAGCTGAGGACACTGTGTAGACTACACTGGTGCTACAACCATCCTCAGCAACCGCCAGGTTGGTTAATGCCCCTGGCCCCTGTTGACTGCACTCTGTGGGCACAGTTGGTACACAAAATAAGCAGCATGTGCCCTCTATGTTACTGGTACTTATGTCCTGCTTCAACGGGAGTTGCCAAACATTTTGAGGGCCAGTGGACACATTTGGGGTTCTGTGGAAGTGTAATGGGTGCCAGTCACAAAATGGCTGCCGTGGGGTGTGCGGTATAGCACAAAATGGCTGCCACATCTAAAATAGCAGAATAAGATACAGGACCACAATGCCCTCCAGACTCCCCACTCCTCATCAACGAGGGAAAATGCTATTGCCTCACAGAATCACAGCACAATGATCTTTGCACCTCTCCTCTGTCCAGAATGGAAGAGAGGGTGTGTGACCCATCCTGGCATCCAATAAAAGGTGGGCATGTGATTAATACATTAAATAAATAATAATCATGTTTAAAGGGTAGGGTGGGCTGGCCCACCTATGAGGTAAGGTGAGGCGACCTGCCTCAGGTGGCAGGATATAAGGAGCGGCATTTCCAGCCTCCAAGGAACGCATCACCTCTTTGGAAGCCAGATCTGTTACCTCCTTGGCGGCCTCCACAGCCACATCTCGGTAAATAGCAGGCACTGCTGGTCTCCTCCTGCCCTGTATCAAATTTGTTCCCTGTTTGTTACTGTTGTAGAACTTCTCTCCCCACTTCTTTTCTGGAGTGCGTGTCTGCAATTTTGTGGTTTGCCTCAAGTGCCAACCCTGAAGTGAGGCTTTCAGTTTAGGAGAGGAACTGAGCAGGAAGAACAAGCAGCCTCTTGTGCGCTGTGGATTTTTGAGGGGATGTTTATTGAGACCTTTTGCAGGTGCCATAAGGGTTTCTCAAACACACACTGGAATCTGCTTGCACCACATCAGTGACCCCTGCTCTACATTATTACTCTGCTACCTGCCAAACGTGGAACCAACCATTGCTCAACAACAGTCACCACCTGTCCTGGACGGAGCAGGTAATTTCCTAGCTGATGTGTCTTGGCTAAGATGACACTGAAGTGTTTTAAGTAGACAATCACCACAAAACCTGCCGTACGCTGGAGGGTAGCAAGAAACCTGCCCAATGTGCTGCTTGGAATTCCTGAGTTTTCCATATTTCCTGGGCAGCTGCCAGAGTCCTATGAGCTGCCAAGTCATGGATTTCCCTGCTGTAATCAGGGACTGGAGAGATTATTGCTCAGCTGTCTTTGGGCCTGAGAGAGATAGAAAGAGGCAGTCAAGCACCACTGCACTGATCAGGGCCCCAGTGTTTTCGTCTCCCGCCTTCCAGGCTGGCACTAAATGTGTTATCTCTGCCCATAAGCAGGCCCCCTTAAAGAGAGAGATGCATCACTCAAACCTTGGAAAAGACAGTCTGTACTGCTTCCTGTGCTGCCCCATTGAGTTCCAAGGTAGGAAGCCAAGCATAGGTTACTAAGAAAGGTTCTAGGCAGGCAGTAGTTTCAATGAGAAGGAGGAGAGGCGACATTTCTTAGAAAGCAATGTAACAGCTTGTTCTTTCATTCATAAGGTTATGAGTTCTGCACATTCTAAGCTATTATTCTTCCCTTCCATCACCACTCCTTAGCGGTTATGCGTCATTGTTGTTTCCCAAAACAATTCACTCTCAAAAAGCTTAGGAAGGAAGGAAGGAAGGAAGGAAGGAAGGAAGGAAGGATCAAGACACTTTAGAAATTGCCCCAAGACCTATTTCATAGAAGTGAACTTAACACAGGGAAAACACACCAGAGAATTACAGCCACAAATAGGACCATCCCTACAATTAGGCAGAGTAAGATGGCTTCCCAAGGTAGCCAGTGTAGAAGGGTTTGCAGCAGGATGGGGGGGATGGAGCTGTGTGTGCCACATGGCCTGCCCTGCACCACCCAAGCTACCCTCCTGCTCTCAGGTGCAATGGAGGATGCTCTCCCATGGCTAGCTTTGAAGCAAGATTTAACTGCCAATCAGGTTGGTTTATGGAATGGGGGTGGGTTGCCATCTTGTCCTTCAACTCAGGCAGCAAAATATATTCAACTGCCCCGGCAGAAGTCCCACTATGTCTGCTGACATTTTTGCCCAAGGTCTCATTTGATTCTATTTGCAAATCACTGAACTTTCTACCAATATCACATGACCCCAGAACTTATCTCTCCCCCACTCCCCAATTTGGGAATTTGGGAAACCAAATTCAGTCTGAGATGTAATGCTTCACTGTTGCTATTTGGTTGGAACGGGGGGAAAGAGCATAAGGATAAGGCAAGGGGGGAAGGTGGAGATGTTTGAAGGAGCAGGACTTCCTCAGATGGCTGAGGATGGTTGAAGTGATGAGAAGGTCACAGAAAGGATATCTACTGGGAGGGAGGGAAACCATGGATTACTTCTAGGACAAGGCCAGGACAAGCAGTTTGTGCTAGATTTTGAGACTAGGCAGGATGTCAGAAATTAAGGAGTGACATCACATGATCTGGACAATGAGAGAGATTAATTGCTTATACACCTGTGAACTGTGGAGAGGATCAGCCTCTACTTCACAAATATGGCAGTTGCTTCTGTTCTTAGTTCACGCACAAACCAATCCTGCAGGAATTAATCAGTGAAAAAGAAGGGTGATCACCACACCGGTGTCTGCAAATCCTATGGAGTGCATTAGTCCCATGAGAATGCTCCAAAATGTAATTGCATAGGCTGAAACCTTCATGACTCTGGACCATGGAGCCTGGACATGCAATGGATATATAACTGACATGTTGCTAGTAAAACTCTCACATCCTCTACCCCAACTCAAAAATATGCAGCCCACATAGTTTAGCCATTTGTAAAAGATCATGTACACTTACTCTTCACATATATCCCATGGTTCTTTGGGGGAGAACAGTGGCTCAGTGGTAGAGCATCTGATTTGCATGGAGAAGGTCCCAGGTTCAGTCCCTGACATATCCTGGAATGGCTGGAGGAGAATTCTTGCCTGAAACCCTGGAGAGCCACTACCATAGACAATACAGAACTAGACAGAGCAATGTTCTTAATTGGTGTAAGGCACCTTCCCATGAGAGTCCCATGGACTGCAAGAATTGGTGTAAGGCACCTTCTCTTGAGAGTCCCATGGACTGCAAGAAGATCAAACCTATCCATTCTTAAGGAAATCAGCCCTGAGTGCTCACTGGAAGGACAGATCCTGAAGCTGAGGCTCCAATACTTTGGCCACCTCATGAGAAGAGAAGACTCCCTGGAAAAGACCCTGATGTTGGGAAAGATGGAGGGCACAAGGAGAAGGGGACGACAGAGGACGAGATGGTTGGATAGTGTCTTCGAAGCTACCAGCATGAGTTTGACCAAACTGCGGGAGGCAGTGGAAGACAGAGGTGCCTGGCGTTCTCTGGTCCATGGGGTCACGAAGAGTCGGACACGACTAAACGACTAAACAACAACAACAAAACCTTCCCATGTTCTTAGCATTATTATATATAACTAGTATGATCACAGGCCAGGCTATCACATGGCCTCCAAGTGTCTTCCAGCAGCGCTGATAGCATGTAAAAAAGAATACAGTCATACCTTGGGTTACAGACGCTTCAGGTTGCGTTTTTTCAGGTTACGGACACGCCAAAACCCAGAAGTACTGGAATGGGTTACTTCCAGGTTTCGGCAGTCGAGAATGCATAGAAGCGTTAAATCGCACTTTGCGCATACGCAGAAGCACCGAATCACAACCCACGCATGCACAGACATGCCGCTGCGGGTTGCAAATGCTGCGTGCATCCCACACAGATCACGTTCGCAACCTGAGCATCCACTGTAGTCAAATTATAGGGCTGGCATGGGTTCTCCATGCTATCAGACACTTTAAAACATATCACAAAAATAAGTTCCAGAGCACCATCTGCTCCATTGCATCTTTTCTGTATAGACTCGGGGTTCTTCTCAAGAGTACCATGTCTGTAGGACAAGGAGACAAGACAGCATTCTGAAACAGTTAGCCTAGATATGCATAGGGCTGTACTTTTAGTTATGTGAATGAGAATTTCTAATAATCAGCAGGTGAGAAAACTGGCCTATAAACAACAGTACATTCAAAACAGACCATAAACCAAGCCTCACATTCTTTAACTTTCATCTGAGTTTCTGTCTGTTTAGCATTTTAGCCAGTTTTCTTTCAAGAATTTTTTTACTGGCTCTTCTAATACTGTGTATTGTTCATGTTTCATTGTATCTCCTTATTTGTGTCCCTCTAATGCCATCCTTCTTTCATCTCTCTAAGGCCTTTTTTCCTCCTCTCCTGATTCTGACTCTTTCTTTAGCTTCTTATGTTTCCCTTTAAGTACTCTTTTGCTTATTTTGTATTGTAGCAAATCAGTGTAGGACTTCATGGTTGTCACTCTGCTGCACACATACAATGGCTGTGAAAAAGAAAGCAACCACAAAGACATAACTTGGTTCTTCCTGCTAAGACCCATCCCTTCTACCAAACAGGAAACTCTCCCTTGCTGCTTCCTGCCCAGAGAGAGACATACATAGTTTGACTCCACCCACCAGAGGGCAGTGTTGCATCTACACACTGGTCTCCTCTTTGCAACTATTGTTTTATAATTTTATATATTGTTTGATAATTTTATAATTTTAAATGTTTTTACATCCAGCTTATCCTCCTTCTTGAAAACTTTAAAAGCTTATTTTAATTCATTTTATTGCTCTTTTTTTAACCTCAGAACTAGTAATGGGTCTTTTGAAATGTGCATTCATTCAAATGCATGCACTCTTGCAAATCTGGATAAAATGAATATGCCACATGGATTTTATGACATAGAATGTATCATGTTGCAGTTACATTGAATCTCATCTCCCACACTCAGTTCTGTGAAAACGACTGTCCCCCAAACTCAAGGTGGCAGCATAGGAGCAGAGGTGGAGCTAGCTGTTCCGGCACCCGGAGCGGCACACATGCTGTGCACCCGGGGGGCGGGCAAACATCCCTTGTGGGCAGGGCAAGCATCCCAGGGGGGTGCCGCCTGCGGTGATTGGTGAGCATCTCAGGGGGGCAATCAGCACGGTGATCAGTGTCCAGGGGGGTGATTGGCGTCCAGGGGGTGGCACGGTGATCCGCCCAGGGGGGATTTTGTCTCAGGGATGACACCCGGGGTGGACCGCCCCCACCGCCCCCCTTCCTATGCCCCTGCATAGGCGTGAGGTCAGATCACTTCTCCCATATTCCTGCTGACTCCAGCACTGCTTCTGATCTAAACACATCTATGGTCTATGGCAGCCCCATCCTATTGCTTGCTCCAGACATCATATGTGGGACATGTTACTCCTGAATAATTTAGATCCAGGCTCCCCAGTGTGGCTCCCATGAGCATCATGGTGCCGTTAGACAAGCCCCATGCTACCCATTGGGCGGTTGGGGGGATAACCTGTGGGGGTTTTCTGGTCTATGTTTTATTTGTCTGGGGTGCGTGCAGGTGTTTTTCCTTTTGTTTGAGGCAGGGGTTCTGAACATCATGAGTTTCCCCCTGAAATGGGCATTTTGTGGTGCCCACGACAGTGTCTTAGATTTCCAAAGGCACCTCTGGACCCTCCAAATCCACTGGAATCAATGAGCTTCTTAGGTACAGCTAACTTTGCACAAGACTGGGCTACCTGTCTAGACTATGTGCCAGGTCTGGAAATGCTGCACAGTGATTGCTGCTGGAGCAGACATAGCCTGAAAGGCAGACCTGGACTCTTCCCATCTCAGTCAACATCATCAGCAGGAATACACACTTTCTAAGGCCAAATTAAGCTGTCAGTTACACCTTTGCAGCCATGGTGTTTCCCAATTAAGACCCTTCAGTAAATTTGCACAGGGATTAGAATTTAATAAAGGTTTCCCTCAGGGCCAGGGAAGAAATAGAATCTGCATTTCTCCATGTTCCAGCTGTCTTGGCTGTGTAAGCATTGCATGAGTAACAGCAGCAACAGCCAATATTTACTTTTTGTCAAGATGGGCTGCACACAGTGTGACGAGATGTCTATTTTCCAGCCACTAGATGACTCTCTGAGCTGCAACTACTTTTAGACAACCTGCATCTGTGGTGAACAAAAGGTAGACATGGTGGGGCATTAAGCAGAAGTCTGTCTCTGTATTTTGAAACACTTTTGCAATAAAATGCCTTCTTTCTGAAGGCTAGAAATTCACACAATGGACTTTAATAAGGTAAATCACAGTATCAATGGTGGATACTGAAATCTGCAGCAAAATAGCACTCTGGTTGTTTTGTCATGTGACCAGAGAGCAAATAACTTGCCACTTCTCAAGCCATATTTGTAAACCGAATTTCAAAGTTGCCAGCACAGGAATTAAAATTTTAGATGTAACTTGTGAGTTTCTAGCAAATGTTCATTTTTTTGAGGTGAACTGCAGCATTTTATGTGTGGGCTGGTGCTTACATTTTGGAACAAGGCTGAGTTTCAATGACAGATGTGAGGTATGGAATGCATAATTTAGAAGCCTTCCATTTTAAATGTTGGTATTTCTATGGGTTTTCCATTTATGCATATCTATTTCAGCAGCACATTTCTGCAACCAGACATTCAGGGGTCAAACCCTTTACAATCAGACAAAATGCCTGAAGACATTGAGCAGGAGGATGATATCTGATAGAATTACCTTTAGAAACCACCCACTCTGCTAGAAACCTTCCAGTGAGAAGACTCCCAGGGGCAAGATTTGCCGCCACCACATCCTGAGGAAGTTGCTCTGTCCTCCTCTTCAGACTTATATGCCTGACCCCCTAGCAGAGCCAAAGACTCCCCAGCCCTGATGGTAACAGCACTTAGGGAACAGAGTGCTGTCCCTTTAACAACCAGAAGTTTCTTTGGAGGGGGTGGAGCCAGGAGCACCAACCAGCAGGGCCATTTAGACTCCTGGTTAACTTCAATAGAGCAATATTCCACTGGAGCATTATTTCACTTTGCTGCACTTGAAAGTCTTTCTTTGTTCAGCCTCACTTGGAGCCATGTATGATTCTGCTCACCACCTGAACATTTGTTCTTCCCTCTCCATTATCCCCATGGACCTCACCTGGAACATAATATAAATGCCTTTGCACAAGGCGTCCTTCGTACTGGATGGCCAAAGGTTAAAGATGGTGGGAGTTGAAATCTGGAAGACTCCTCCTGGATTAGATGTTTCCAAGAAGAGAAAGGAAAGAGACACGAAGTGGCACTTCAGTGTTGCTTGTAACATCCAGTGCCTCGCTAAATGCAAACTGAATAGTAACCAGTCACTGTGCTGGTGGCTCATGAAAGCACCCACACAATTCTGCACTAGTGTGCTTGACTGTAATACTGCAGGATCATTTTGAAATGGAGGTGCTACAAGTCTGGATGCACGTTGAGTTAACAGGATCTCAGGAAGCAGATCTGGGTAGGACTACTGTCTAAAACCTTGGAGACCTCCAGACAGATGCAGTACACACTACTGGGCTGGATAGACCAATGGTCAGATTCAATATAAAGTTAACTGCAGATGTCTCTGTTTAAAGTGTAATTATTATTAAACCTGCAATCCCTTTCCACAATTTGTAGGAAGCAACCCTTGCTGAACACAGAAGATGTTTATGTATAGGATTCCTCTGAAAGGTCAGCATCCTACAGGAATGTGGTTAATCTAACACCAGGTGTTTAAAAGTTAGCTGGAAAAGATTCAAAGAGTCAAAGGTCTAACTGCATAACGGGACCCCAAGAGATTATGTAAGGAAACTTCAAAGAGTGGTGCTCTTATGAATTGGAAACTTGGTTAAAAGGCAAAAAGTAAAGGGTGGGAATAAATGCTCACAACACTTTTCATAACGGTAAACAGTGTGACTCCACAAGGGCATTATTGGCTGGTATTGCTGCTGCCAAATTATCTATAGACAAAAGTGAATTATAAGGTAGCCCCAGGCTGACACATATCTAGTCTG